TAGTCTGGACGCACTCAAAGAGCAGGACACCGGTTAGACCAGACTATTTCAAGGCAGCACATTAGAATTTATCCGTCCAATTGAAGAAGCGATGCAAAAAGAACGCGATAAGGAAAAGCGATGCAGTCATCCTGTTTTGATGCGCTCTGGTTGAATCACTACTGATTTTCTGGACCACTCTCTCAGACCTCATCTTCTGGCATCTTAATGTCCAGTATATCCGAAATTGATGAGACGTTTTGAGGTCTGTTTGTAGCTGAATGAAATTGTACAAAATTTTGTAATGCGCGACGTGAGTTTGGTGACTTGTTCTGTAGGTGTGCTTACCAATATAGGAAGAATGCAAACTGTGCAGTGTATTGAACTTTCGGCCAGGTAAAACAGTGCGTCTTGTTTCCCAGAGGGTATCTAGTGTCACCCTTTGATCGAAAGTAACACGCAATATTCATGTCAGGTTTATTGAGAGTATTGAACAATAACACAAGGTTGGTTTTTATTAGGCGCAGCCACAGTGGTTAAAGTTCCAGCTGTTGACGTCGACAGGTTGTTTAGCGTTTACGAGTCCAATAAGCGTTTAGTGAATGACCTCTGAACTTTTACGATCCCTCTTTAGTCACTTTGATGTGAGCTAGTGAGAATAATTGGGCAGTATTCAAGGATAGGCCTGACGCACGTCTTGTAGTGAGAGTGAGTCGAGAGTCCAAGAACGACAAATACTTGAAAACGTATGCGATAGTTGATTTAGTTTTATCCCTGCTGAAGCTGACTTGTTCAGCCATTATATCCGAATTATGTACTAGAATATTTGACATTATATTGCTTGCCTTTGAATTGTTTGTAGTGTAATTTTTTGCACCTTTTGGTATTGTGGGGGTGTTTCTCATCCTCAACTAACGTGTATTGACGATGATGATGATGGTACCTCATGCTAAGGTTGATGTTGCATATCCCCTGTCAATTTTGTGTGTTTGCTTTCCTTCACATTCTTTATCGGTCGTTTCATTTCCCCGGTGTGGCTACACTTGATGTGAAGGTTGTCAAGCTGCCTACCTGTCTAACGCCCTCTACCACCATTACAGGCTCCAGGAGACTGTTAATCATTGCTGGGAGGAAGGGGTGCACGTCCTCATAGCCATGCTGGGTCCAGAGTGGTTCCATGTATATAATGCGGAACGGGATACCGCCCAACTATTACCCTATACACGTTTCGTACGCATAATTCCCAAATGAGATAGACAGCAGTGCTGCTGCTGTGCATGTTGAAGTGTGGGTCGGTTCCGTTGATGAAACGTGGCTTCCATTTACATATTTCACAGTTTTATTTCTTCGGCTTTACGCTGCATGTGCATAGCGCTGCGTCTCAACCACTAAGCCTGAGGTGCTCTTGAAACTTGAGGCAAACGCACTCTGAAGGGCGGTGAGAACACTTGGGACGGGAAGCCTAGCCATCTGAATCCGCTGTTGGTAGCACCAGCCCGTAGAGCGATCTTGGCGCGCATAAGAGCGTGATTTGAAGTGAATTAAGTGTGTTTCCGCTAACACCACAGATAACCAATACGGCCACTCTGGTCAGCCACTTCTCCAAATTCCTCCTCTGGCGAAAATTGTGTTGAACACTCGCTTTTTGGGTGTTTAACTAGTGTGCTTACTGGAGGACTTCAAGCTAGATCATTGTCAGCTGTCCAACATGAGGTGGAACGATGCCATTAGCTTCCTCTCATTGGCCAGTCGATCAGATTCAGGCGACCTTTGGCCAATCCTCTCCGGGCTGCTTTGGAGAGCGCCGGCTTCAAGGGTTGCTATTGGCAGACTACTTTAACAGTAAGTGCTTCAGGTTGATTTTCGCTCCTTTATGCAGCCCCCCGCCCCGAGTTACTTTCATATGCTTGTAACACGTCAGAAAATGTATTTGTAGCAGGCTAACAAATAGGATGTCGTCGAGTACATCGTAAAAAACCATTGTCGTTTCCTCGTTATCAACTCGTATGGTAAACAGTTAGAACAGTTTGATTTAGCTTGACGTCAATGCACAAACCCAGTAGTGTCTCAAGCGATGGCTAGACACCTGTTTGTTGAGCATGCATGGATCATGTTGTGTTTGACTGTGGTGATCCATTGTGGAACACTGCCGCAACAACTCACATAGTCCTTGCAGTAAGGGTTGTTAGATGGTCAAGTCAGGTCAGTGTCCATGGATGAAACAAGCCTTCACCTCACTTTCGTCCAGTTTCCTATGCCGGTAAGCAAGACAGCACCTTCGGCAATGCTACGTTCAAACTTTTTTTCAATTCTGCAGATACAAAAAAGAGTAAGAGCCACCTCTCATAACTTCATGAAACTAGCCATGACGTCCTATCGACCATGGGCTGTTTGGCACTAATTGGTATCCACTAATTTCAGTGCAATTCCGGAAACAGAATGAACCAATTCATAACTATGCTTCTTTTAAAGGCTTCTATGGTATTACATTCCACTACTGCAGGGGGATTAAACTCTATCCACGTACTACGCGATTAGTGAAAAATTTCGCCGGATGTCCAGTCTGGACCTCTGCTTCATGAGCATCAGTTGGTGTCCCTGCAGATGGTCCGACATAGCTAGTTCAAAGAGATCGGTAGGCCTATTGCCACTGAGACCTCTCATAATATTAAACCTTTCTGTCACGTCTCTCCTTAGTCATCGACTTTCCAATGAGAGCAGGCCTAAACAAGCCAGTCGGTCAAGATACGACTTCTCACGCTGGTCTTCAATCCTTCTGGTGGCCAGTCTTTGTAGCTAAAACACTACACTCCATGACAGCTGCTTTTACCTTCTGTCTCGTTGTTGGTGCGCGTTCTTCTAATTCTTGCGAGTTTCCGACCCCATGACTTCCGGATGCCAGCAGCTTATGCCACTAAACCATTATGGACGAAAATTGCGGAAAGCTTCAGACGCATATATATATATATATATATATATATATATATATATATATACTGTATTATAGAGCAAGTAGAAACGAATTCTGTACAACTAGATGCGATGAATTTCTACCATACCATTCAACTTCCTCTACTACTCTTCTGTAACGTTTTCTAAATCTTAACCACTTAAGTTGGTTAGGCCATGCGCTCCGTATGCACGTTGATCGACCTCCTCGACATGTGTTATATGCTGTGACTGCACCAAGTTGGACGAATGCGCGAGGAAGCCACTCCATGATGGGGCATAGAAGCGTGCGGAAACTGACCGAGATACTTGGCCAGGTCAGTACATGACGTCTTCATTTATGTGAGCCTCGAAATTGTCCACCACCTATCAGACAACGCGCAGTCAGTAGCGTTCTTGCATTCCGTGTCTTGCATCTCGGTGCTAATCTTCATTCCATCCCCATTAGTTTTGCGCTTTTGTGTTCCATTTCCATTATTTTGTATTCTATTTACATTTGACCTCCTCTACCCTTATATTCGATCTCTCCTGTTATTATGGCAATGTGAGTCGTAGGAACTGAATCCACCGCACTTCTGTGCCCCCCCCATCGTACTTGTTTAACCGAACGGGGAACACTTGCTCATTTAAGCACGTTACACTTGAGGTGGGATTAAGTGATATACTGAATACTGTATTGTGGGAGCCAGTGCAAATTTAACGGCACAATTCTATCTGCATGTTATCAAAAAGGTGTTTGCCACCTGTTGCTATTCTAAGCATGCTATCATTTCTTTTTAGAATGTCTGCTTTACAGTTTCACTGGTCTCACAGTTGTTAGATGTTATTATCATTGTGCAGTCGTTCGCTGAGTCGAATGCTGGTGAAATTTAAATACTCAAATTTTTTAGACTGCTCCGCGACATGCTCTCGCAGACAGTTCTAAACATCTACCACTCTCCGTTCGAAGCATAGGATATAGAAACCTCGCTTTTATCCGACTTCACACGCTTGTGTGCTGCATGGCTTTCGCAAGTGTAAGAGCACATTCAACATGGGGAAGTCGCGTAGATGTACTATACGGTAGGTCACGATGTGATCGACTCGCAGTCAACGATTGGACAAAGTGCTGTTGCCTAGTTTACCGCGTCATCAGCATACGTTAGCTGAAGAAGAGAAACACACCTCAACTATTGTACCGCGATACAGAATTAGCTGATAGACATTACAGCCTAAAAAACCTAGAGGGTGTAATGTTCACTAGCGTATTATGTGTGGGTGTGATCGTTGCTGGATTGGGGACGATAAACGGAAGGCGATGCATAAAGAAACTCACGACACGAAAGTCATTGGGGTCGGCTTTTCGACATGTCCACAAGTGTATCCAACCAAACGTGTTCATCGTCCTTCGAATCCAAACCCGTCATTCGGGAGACACCAACCGATTCCATCTTGCGTACGTCAATCCTCATAACTTCGGGATGAACATGGTAGTGGCGTGTTGGAGCCCTTCGATCATCTGCACCTCGCCTCAGGTGATTGGGCAATGGAAGTTTGATACGTCGCAACGTATTTGCCAATCTCCCCCGAATCACTCATATGTTCACCCTTGCTGCTTGCTCCTAACATTTCACATCCTCCGCATCCGAATCAGTGCTGCTGAATCTGGTTTACTAGATTACCTTGTCACCGAAGCAGACCTGTGGTTCCCATTGTGTTTCCGGCATCATCTGTGCTCACTTCTGACACCTCTTCGTAGTACTGTTGTTGGGCCGCTTTATCCTTGGATCCCATATATTATTGAACTCTGTGTGATAATATGAAATCTTGGTGGTTGCTCGAAGCTTTTCAAATGTTTGTAGATCAGTAAGTGCGTATGCACATGCTGGAGAGGTTAGATATTCTCAAATGGTGCATTCCTATTTTATACAGGTTTGTCGTATGGCGCAATAGATTGCGCGCTAAACGCATATGGTAGGAGATCTTTGCTACTTCTCGTTATCAATCATTGAATGTAAACCAAACTCTATCTCTGGTAGCTTGATATTTGCATCACAGATTTGTGACTGATAACTTTCTGTTTTCTGTTCCAGAAGAGCGAACTCATATCTGCGAGTACTGCGGGAAATCGTTTTTCGATAGGTTCCAGCTTCAGGCTCACGTGACTTGCGTCCACACAAGTGAGTGCAGCCTTCACTGCGTCGTTAGGCACTTTTTCCTCCAACTGACGGATAGCTCAACTTCTCGATGTATATTTTCAGCATATGCTATGTGCTTGATCATCGTCTTCGTCGCCGTTATCATCATCATCATCGTCATCACCACCACCATCATCATCATCACCATCATCACCGTCATCATCATCACCATCACCACCACCACCATCATCATCATCACCACCATCATCGTCATCATCATCACCACCACCACCATTATCCTCCTCCTCATCATCATCCTCATGATCATCAATGCACGTAGATGAGTTTACGTACCGGAATAAAAAAAGATGTGATATTAAACATTACGATTGGTGCCAACTAAAAATTTAAGATAATATTAAAAATCATTTCACACATCGAGTATGTGATCGTGGTTGAAAGAGAGAATCCAAGTGTTATGGGGAAGGACAAAGAAACTCACAGCTCAGATGCCATTATAATCGGCTCCTTGCCGTATCAACAAGTTTCTCAAACCGAAGGTCCTTTGCACCTTTGTCCGGAAATCGGGAGACTCAAAGCGAGGAAGTGCAGGCCTTCATTACTCTTGATCAAGTCATCACTTGGTCTCCCCTCGTCTTTTTATATCCAAACTCTGGTCACACAATCAACGCACATCGCAGGAGTCGGTATGTCATGCGCTTTACGTTACGCAGCCATCGGAGTCTGTTTCATGATATACTGGTGCTGAACGGTTCACTCACTTGCTACCCCTAGATCATACATTCCACAAAAGACAGCGTTGAATGATGCTAGAATCCAATACAGTTGTTTGGGTACACAGCTATGGTTGATTCCCATATTTTCACCACTGATAACTTAGCACTCGACTTTTTACTTCTTTGGACGTCAGTTTTTGGCATCAGCTGCTCACAATAAATTAACTGTGACATTTTTAACGGTTCCGTTATGCAGAACACCGACCATTTTCCCTCCACGTTACAACACCACCCTGATGAGGCTTGTATACTGAGTACTTATTTATGTGTAAATTATTCATTAGTAGTTTAGCGGTGAAGCAGAGTCGCAGAATGTTCATGACTTGTACTTTATGGCCGAAATCCCTTCTGCTCGGTTATGGATGATCATAAAACGGGGCTTTTCTTCTCCTAATGGTTCCGAACTTGGTTGTGCGATTCCGAGAGCGTTGACTGTAAAACGCATCAGCAGTACCAGTGTACGGAGTACAGACACTTCATTGCCACGTACTCCCCACTAATCGCACGTGAGCGAAGGTTACTGCGAGGGTCACCCTGCCCTACGCGGGCTCAAACCCGCGGGCTTGTGATCCTTAAGGCCACGGCCGGCGCTTATGTCTTGTGTTTTGCCTGGAACCATTCCTAGAGATGTTGAGTACGATGTCATCTCCAAAAGTACATTAGTTCGATCCGAGTCGCTTAATTCAGTGGATAACCTCGCTTTTGTTATTGGTTTCCACTTGTTTAGTTGAGGACGGATCATAATACTTGCTAGTATGCCATTCGGCTTAGCCACGTTCCCTCCGGGATCCTGCAGTTGTCGATTGCAAGCGTTCCATTATACAACCGTCATTTCACTCGCTAGCTGCAAAGCAACAAACAACACATGTTTATTGAACCTACTATTACTTACGAATGAAAGTCTCTCTATCTGAAGCATGCATGGACATTTCCTCATTCTTGCTGGCGGAATTTTGTTCCAAACGGAACTTATCCAAACACAGCTCCCAAAAGATTAATTAACTGAAGCATTAGATGAAGCTCTCGACACATGGGGATGTACTTTTGCTTGGATCCATTGCATGAGCTGCGCTCAGTAATGTGTTTTAAATATTTTGATGATTTCTTGGTCCAGAGCTGGAATTGTTGAGGCCATATTTGGAGGCACGAGTTTTCGTTTACTGTTCGTGAGCTTATCGACATGAATATGACTAGGACAATTATCCACTGTCAGTAGAATGAATCGTTCCTTAATCATTTCTCGGTCAATTTTTCTCATCCAATAGTCAACAATGGCAGTTCTGAGAATCTTCCAGTCACCCGCATGGATGTGCTAGCATTTTTGACTATTGAATAAGAAAAATCGACCGTGAAATGATGAATGAATGATAATTACCCCAGTTATATCCATGTCGATATTCTCAGGAACAGTACACGAAAACTCCTGCCTCCAAATATGGCCTCAACAATTCTACCTCCGGACCAAGGAATCATCAAGATATTTAAAACAAATTACCGATCCCAGCTCATGCAATGGATCCAAGCAAAAGTGCATTCCAATTCGGAGAAAGCTGCATCTAATGCTTCAGTCAGTGCTCTGGGTGCTGTGTTTTGGATAAGTTTCGCTTGGAACAAACTTCCGCCAGCAAGAATTGGAAAATATCTGTTTATGCTAAATAGTGTTGCTTACGTTGAGAGCGCTTTTTCAGTTGCCTTTGTGATAAGAGAAACAGACGATGATTGACTTCTTCTTCAAAAAGCGGTTTAACTTGCGATATGCACACTCCGTTTTCATCTATTCTAACACTGTATGGTTGAACTGCGTTTGCCGATACGTGAGACTTCGTCTAATGTGTTTTTAATATACTACTCAAAACGGAGAATGTAGTTTACCCTAAGTTTAGGCATAGAACCACCGTGCGTTGACCACTTTCCATGTTAGCCACTGACTGCCAGTCCCTTGGGTGGTCAACTTACGGTAAGCAAAAAATAGACATTGGGCCGTTCAAACTCGTGGACTAGAGAATCAACGGAGGTACACGTACAGCACATAGGAAGAGGGCGAACACTAAGGGGAAACAAAAAATCAATACTTTTAGATCTATTTCACACATCATTTTGTACTATTTTCGGTCGGTCTTTTAAAGTGTTTATGCTCTTAATATCATGAGATCCCACAACCTTATGGAATTGTTTCCGCTGGGCCATTGCCTTGAGCGTGTTAAGCCGTTGACGTCCATCAATTTTGGATTTCCAGCTGGGAATACAAACATAGCTAGCGATGACTAGAGATGATGTCAATGTTTTCATGCCTTGTGGCCGAGTTTTCGATGGGCTTCCTCGAAGTTGCGTCCAGTACAGCCCTGCGTGTGTAAACAGGGTTCTGTGTGACAGACGATCACCAGATATACGCAGGGCGAGGTCGTATCATCTCGATTGGCACAGCGCGAGACGCGATGACTGACATTATGGTGCCTCCGGTTTTACCACCACACATGGTCCATCCTCCTCAAACGGGTGTTGTCAGAACCCGGAATCCTACGTTTCTCATCTAAACAGAACGATCACGAATCGCATCTATACAACTTCTCGCGCAAACACTGGCATTCCCAACCCTCCCCTTTCACAAGATCGATATTTCTCGATGACGCCACAAATATCCCAAGTTAGCTCAGGTCGATTTCGCTTTATCCATTCAAGGGGACACTTCTCCAATATTGCCGTCAGCAGGAACCCAGCTCTTTGAGTATCCAAAACTCTTCAAGTTGAGGAATTGGTGTGTACCAATTCTGGAACCGCATTCTACACTAGACGGAGACAAGACACATACCAAACTTAGACGTTTCAGCCGTTACTCGGTTAAGGATCGGTTGCGCACGGTAAGAGTCGTCGCCTGGAAAGTTGCTATCATCAGCACAATCCAAGTCGGTTGCGCGATTACCTGTTAGGAGCTGGGCGCTAAAACCCAGCAAATCTATAGCTCCCAACTGCACGTCTTCGATCGCGAAGTTGTAGGGAGACAGATAAGGATGTTGTTGTCTCACACCATTGGTGGTAGGGAATAATGCAGAAAACCTAGCGTAGGCTCTCATTCTATTTAACGTACAACGGTAAGAGCGCCTGAACATAAGCGACATTTTTGGTCGGTAGTAGGTCGGTATACTGAGTGGAATGCAGTGCGAATGTCCATGAAGGTGACGATGATAGATCTGCCTTAAAGGTGGCGATGTTCGATGAGCAGATGAAGGATGAATGTTTTATGCATGCGTCCTGACCGGGGCGTCTACCAGCCTGCTGCTCATCTCATGAGTGTTTCACGCGTTAGGGCCAGTCTGTCGATCATCATGAATCCTTGGAGGCAGCTGTGTATTGGGTCAATAATGGATTCATCCCAAGGAGCGTTCGCTACTTGACAATCGCTGTGTGCCACTATACGTTAACACAGGACTGGACGCACACAATTACGATCTTCATTGGCCTGTCAGAACTCGTTGCGAAAGTCACCTGTTAGTGTTCATGGCACCTCTGATTGATTCCGTTTTCTTTTCATGGTAACCTTGGAAATGAAACTTAACTTTGACAGTTAGGGCAAAAGTCCAACTTGTGTCTTGCATACTGGCAGTGAGTGATTAGCGAGTAAGTTTTATTTCCATAATAAGCAACTGTACGTTGCGCCTACTTCGTACCTACATGGGAACTTGACACTCACAGTTAACCCCACAGATTGGCGGCCACAGAGTACCAGACAGGCGACTTAAGTTCCATATTTTCCTGTTTCCAGTTCAACATGAATAAAGGAACTACGACTTCTTCACACTCATTGTTCTCTTGGGTGACAACAGAGGTTGTGTAGCTTATGCTTGCCATGCGCTTGTTACGGTTTTCTCAAATTCGTTTGGTTGAACACCGTGGGCGACTTAGAGCAATGTAACATATTGCTGAGGCTTTGTATCTTTCGTCAACTCCTGATCACATGCCAAACACTTGGGGGTGGAATCAATGTCGCTTATCAGAACTTCTTCAAAACGTTTGACCGTGAGCATTACCACATCCTTCTTCACAACCTGTAAATGTAAAGGATTGTGAAACCCCCAACCCCCCGCCTCCGTATTCAGTGGCCTTAACCACAGAGTGGTAACCATATAGCCGCGGTTCTGGCTCAACAGATAGGAGTTCATCACATTCAGACTCAGGTAGACAGCTATCACACGCCCGGGAAAACACTATGCAACCCTTTCATCCATTCGAGAATCGTCAAGGAAAGTCATCATCAGTACGCCGGCACACTACCGACGCTTCCTGCCAGTCGGGGGTGGGCTGAGTATAAGGCGAGGACACCCGCCCCTAAGCGGCTTCGTAACGGTGACCTAAGGATTACAAGCCAGACGTGCAATCCTTTCGGCCACTGGTCGACAGGATCGTCGGCAATACACATTCCATCTGACCCCTGTTAGGCTCGAATCTGCAACTCGACTGTACTTGTCTACCGTTACAACCACTGAGCTACGGGGGACGGTAACAACCCACGCGACTATCTTCTGCGCGGCGGAAACGTGCAAGCTATTGGATAGCGGGGGACGCTATCCTGCATCTTGTAACTTAGTCGCATCGGTGGTTTCCGTCCTCCGTAACTCTGTGGTCTTGACCACACACTAGTAACAGTCGAACTGTGGGTTCTTCCTCAACAAGGGACCTATGGGTTACGCACTGATGACGAATCAGGAAAGGATGGAACGGCCATATAACACTAGTTCTTTCGTTTGATGGCTATCTGGCTGAGTCTGAATGTGATGAAGTTCTACCTGTACCACACCAATCCCTCTACAGTTCCATTGTTATCAATACATAGGCCAAATTGTTTATAATGCCTAAGTTAGTTGGCGACTTATGTTTGCTAAATTTGTTGCTTGCTGCGGTGATTACCTTGTCCCTTGCAAGATAGTTTGTTCTTTGTTGCTGTGCATGATCGATAACTTTCTTCTTTCCGTTACAGAGCAACGAGATCATGTATGTGAATACTGTGGAAACTCGTTTATCTTAAAGAACCACCTCCAAGCACATGTAAGGGCTGTACACTTGAGTGAGTGCGGTAGGATTTGATGTATCTCTACACCCCATCAAATTTTATGTTGCTTGTGATTAACAGCTGCTTTTCTCTCCACATTGATCATTGATTTAACCGCATTTGACCAACGCGATTGGGAACATCGGAGTCCAACCGGGCACAGCGACAGTTGATGGCCATTTAAAACTCGTCGCCGCAAATCGATCTGTGGAAGGTCAGCTGAATGGAATGTCGCAACGGTGCTACAAGGCGTAACTGTGGTTTTCATAAGCTTGAAATAACACGTCGCTCTGCGCTTTCGCGGGAGCCGTAGATACGCGACCTTGGTCACTACTGCGCTTTTTGTGGTCGCGCATTTCTTGGGGACACTATGTATTGATCACGATTTGTGTACAGATTTTGTACCATCGGAACCATGGGGGAGTAGGTAAACAAGGTTAGTGTAAAAGAAGAAAGAAAACGAACCATTTTTTGTCCATTTCTTCACTCACCGCAACAAGCAGATACACGCCCACCACTGAGAACTGAGAACTGGTGCGAAGCAGCGAGTAGAGATTGCTCTGTGTAGCTGCATCATTCGTCGTTTTCGGACATGAACTCTTTATTTATCGTTTCGCTCTTTGTACTTTGCCTCTGCAAATTGTTGGTCTAGTAGCATCTTGAATTTAGACACGGTGTTCGCTTCTACTATATGCTGAGGCAGGTCGTTCCAGACATTCACCACTCTTCGTTCGAAACAGAGTTGATGGGCGACCCGCTTCAAATCCGGGACGATAAGTTTATACCGGTGTCCTCGCGTGCAGCTTGGTGTGCGCAGATGAAGTAGTTGTCTCAACATGGGGTAATCACTCAGATGTAATATCCGGTGCGTCATGATGAGGTCAACCCTCAGCCGACGATAAGATAGGGTGTATAGCCCTAGTTTCTTACATCGGTCTTCGTATGGCATACCTCGTAAATTGGGAATCAGCCTGGTGGCTACATGCTGCACCCGCTCAAGCTTTTCTACTTCGCCCCGGGTGATGGGACAGTATGCGGGAGTGCCGTACTCTAGCATTGGTCGTATTATCGAGACGAAGAGGCGAGTGGCAATCTCTTCGGACCAAGTGCTAAAGCTGCGCCTGAGAGCCCAAAGCATCCGAAGGCTGTTTTGGTACAGCCTATTCGTGTTGTCAATGGACTTTAGGTCGCAGCGTGAGAGTACACCGAGGTCGCGCACGAAAGGAGCGGGATGCAACGGTTGTCCAGCCACTGTGTACGTTCGGCCGTGATCACACTTACCCAACCTCATGAATTGCGACTTGGTAGGGTTGATCGGAAGGTTAAACTCTGCAGACCATGTTGAGAGGCGGTCGAGATTCTGCTGAAGTAAATCGCAATCATGGAGTGTGCGGATTACTCTCCACACCTTCAAGTCATCTGCGAACAAAGCACAATGTGATTGTAGTAGCTGAGGCACATCGTTTATATGGTTTAGAAACAATATCGGGCCCAGTACAGTGCCTTGGGGCACGCCGCTGCTCGATGGATACCACTCAGTTAGATGGTTGTCCACCTGGACTCTCCACCTCCGATCAATAAGGAAATTGCTGATCCATTTGTGCAGCGAACCACCAACACCGCACATCCTCAGTCTGTCAAGGAGCACTGCATGGTTAACCTTGTCAAAAGCCTTACTGAAGTCAATGTAAATGACGTCAACCGATTGGCCTTTGTTCAGCGCTTGTAACCATTCGTGCCTCGTCAACAGTTCGGTTTCCAGCCATGACCTCTAACCTTTCCAACCAACAGCACTCAGCACTTGGGACCGCATCCAGGGAGTCCGGAGGAACCAACCGTAGCCAGCTGTTTCGTCAGCTTTTTCATCCTACTTCTCCAAGTTGTAGGCTGTCCATCACCGCCTTCTCCAACCCCGTCCAGCAACTTCGAACAAGGCATGACGCGAAAAACGCTGAACAGCCATACGCAGTATATGTCCGAGCCATCGTAGTTGGCGCAGCGAGACAAGCGCATCGAGGGAGTGCATGTCACCAACTAAGACACTCTGTCTGACTTTAGCGTTGGTTACGTGGTTCAGCCACCACACACGGGCGATGGATCGCAAGCAACGGTTCTCGAAGCCAGGCAGTCTATGTAGGTCATCGGTACGAGCAGGCCAAGTCTCGCAACCGTACAACAGTACAGCACGGACAGAAACACTGTAAACCCGTCATTTGATGGAGAGAGGGATGTCATGGCGGCGATATAAATGCCTCGGCCTGGAGAAGGCGAGACGAGCTCTTGAGATACGCAACGAAATCTCGCTTTCAACAGCCCCCGCCAACAGTTATGCAGCTTCCCATGTAGACAAAACTCTGTACTACGTTTCCCCATCGATGATGAGTGCAGGTAGGGACGTATACCAGTCTTGAAAAGCGCTTTGCACTTGGATGGTGAACGTGCACGCCATACTTCGACGCTTCAATCGCCAGGCGGTTAAGTTCAGGTTGGACGGCCTGCGGATCGTCACCCAACAAGATGATATAATCAGGGTAATCCAAATCAGCCACTCGACTATTTGGAAGGAGCTCAACGCCAGCGTTCAACAAGTATTCTAGAGCAATTTTGAGGACATCCTCAATGGCAAAGTTGAAACGGAATGGAGAGAGAGATTGTCGAAACCCACTGGTGACAACAAATGCGTAATATTGCCATAAGTCCTAACTCTTCCTGAGGTCAGACTATACAGAACACGCAGAATGTAAACGAACTTCCCGGGAACACCATTCCTCAACTGACCGCCATTATGCAGCCCTGTCGACAGAATCAAAGACATCACAGATATCCAGGAAGACAACAATCGTTGTCTTTTGATACACGTGGTGGAGCTCGAGAGTCTGGCGGAGTGTGAAAATCTGATCGATGCATCCGCGACCAGGGCGGAACCCTGCCTGTTTTTCTCGCGGTAATGATTCACGCGTTGGGGATAGCCTGCGAAGTATGATGAACACCAGGATCTTGCAAACGACGGGAACCAAACATATGCCCCTGTAATTGGAACAATTTGTGCACAGGCCCTTTTTGAAGATGGGACGACCACCGACTCACTCCAAGATGATGGAACCTCCTCTTTTGCCCAGACTTCTGAGAACAAAGCGGTGAGTTCTCGAACTAGCGAAGATCCCCCATCTTTAAATAGAGCAGTAGGTAGACCATCAGAGCCGGGTGCATTATAACGCTTTAGGCAGCAGAGTTCCCGCCAGATTTCCTGGTGTGAATGAGTATCGGTGGGGATAGTCCACTCATCACCAATGCGCGTCCCAGTGGAAACAGATAGAGCTGGCGGCGAGGAAAACTGCGAGCCGAACTGTTCGACCCATCGCTCCAACTGTTGTTGGAGATTAGTGATTAGACAGCCATTATCTTCGCAGATTCTTTCGCTTATTCCTGTTCGGAAGCCTTCGGTGACTCGGATGAGGTGGAACAGTTTTCCGGTATTACCAGAGAGATTAGCAAGCTCAAGCTCTGTAGCATGTTCACACCGCCAGGTCTCACGCTCCTTTTGTAAGCTCCTGCGCAACGTGTGATCCATGGATCGGCGTTCCTCACTACAGCTGGTGTCGGCTGGGATCAAGCGGCGTTTGTCCATCAGCAACAAGGAGGCAGTGGTGATCCAGCTTTTCGGCGGGTGACAAGCAGATCCACAACTGACAGTACTGGTAGAAAGTAAAGCGTCTTTGATGCGCATCCATTGCGAATTGAGACCATCCTCAGAGGATGAAGCAAGTAGTGTTGACAGGAAAGCCTGGTACTTGGCTAATGTCGCAGGATTTTGCAGATTTTCGACATTCGGTCGGTAGTACCTACGTCTGGATGATCCTCCGAAACGCATGCATATTTTGGCGCGAGCCAGTGCGTGATCAGAGTCCAGACAAGTTGACCAGTACGATTGGCAGTCTGTTACGCTTCCGTGCCATTAGCTTATTGCTATGTGGTCATTCTGGGACCATTCTTGTGTTTGAGAAGGCGGACGCCAGGTAGCAGTCTGTCTTTTCGCATAACCAAAACTTGTACTCGAAAGAAATAAGCGATGATCAGAACAAAGCTCATAGATAATGCCCATGGAAAAGTAAAACACAGCGTTGCAAAGATATCTGTTTTCGGTAGTTCACATCAGGCAATTACAGCTACAGGATTGATAAATGGAACAGTAAACTGATGAAGGCAACAATGAGGACGGTTTGAACAGATTTAGCCTGTTCGTTGGATGCTCAAATCGATTTAATCAGACGACATCGTGATAGGGCTAACCGACAGCAAATAACTTATGTAAACTGAAGAGGCAAACATACCTTCAATATAAATATTAGTTAATTACATAAATAGCACCTGATTATGCGTAATACTCCGGAGGAGACTTATCATCATGGCAAAGTCAAGGGTTACACAAGCACCCTATGCTTGCATAGCTCTGGTTGGGTTAGCCGGATTACGATGGTTTCAGTCGTCTGCAAGAAGCGTTTCCTTAACCCTTTCGGGTATCGCCTCGGTACGGCATAATAGACTTTGAAGGCATCTTTTGTCGAAATCTGCTGCCCACTTAGAATCAGATGTTCCAGAACAAGCGTCAGTAATCTATCTCCATTGTCTAATCGGCTTCTACTGAGGCCAAAACTACCCCAGATGGTCCTCGCTTGGTAGCAGTCGGCCTACTCGTGTGTTAAAATCCCCAGCAAGAATGACAATTTGAATAGCACTGCAAGAGGACGAAAACTGTTAGCTGCATATATTTCGTATTGTCTCCTCAGTACCATTAACAATAACCGATATGCAACTATATACTTAAATATGCGTGTGACCGAATAAGCATGAGGTGCAAAATGAATGACTGAATTTCCACCCTTATGACCACAGCAGTCTTAAGCTGATAAATAATTGCTTTTGAACACACAGGGCCGGCTTCATCCGACTTATCGCAATGGCCTCGGCGAAACGGAGGAAGCAGGGATTAAGGTGACGTAATACAAGTGCGAACGCTGATCCCAGTTCTATCTGGTGACGCGTAGTCAGTAGGTGTTTACCTATTGATGAAGCTGGCGGCTTGCGCAAGCATGGAACTTCAGTGGGACAGGGATGCTGGTCAATTTCACGTTGAACCCACCTTGACACGTACTCCTTTATTCGGAAACTCAACGACAGATTTGTTCTGCCTATGTAACCGTCTCCGCAGTCGCAAACGAATTGGTATATACAGTATGAGTTGGCCCCTATCGGTTGAGCTTCTTTCGTTAGAGGCATCGGCAAGTTACAGGTTCTACTGATGACCACAGCCTGAGCAGCACAGTAACTCCTCTGCGTAACAGGGATTAAACGTTTCGTGGTTTTCAACACAGTAAAGTCACCCTTGAAAGGCAACTCGATACAGATCTTTTTCTTGGATGCCGTATGCACCAAATCTTTCGGGCCTCGCTGTTGGCTGTGTTTCTCTTCGTAAATAACCATTTACAACGAGTGTTGTTATAATTAACTCTAGCTCGTCGGCTAGACAGTCAACCGAGCAAATTCGTCTAGCACGACTAACTAAAGTTTTCACAAGGATCCGCTTGTACCGCACTGGTGTGAAGCTGGTGAAGTGCAGGTATTGGTCAGATCAGGTTGCTTTTCTGTAGATAGACCTTTTAATTAGCCCGTTATCTCTGCGACTGATGAGGATGTCTAAGAGTGGCAGACAGTACTGTTCCACTTCGCAGCTGACCCGCAAGTTGGTATGTGCACAGTTGAGTAGCTGCACAAACTGGACAATCTGCTGCTCCGATGAACAAAAGGCCAATATGTCATCCCCATAACGCTTACAGTATGGTAACTGGGCAGTGACAATGTCAGACTTCTTAGCGGAACGCAGAAGCTCATGTAGTCGTTGATAAAAGCAATCCTTGACTGCATTCGGGTTGCAGTCTGTAAGTGCATAGGCGGAGATGACAAATAAGGCACGCGTAACATCTCGACGCTTACTTAGCTTAGATGAACCTCCTAGTCTGACTGCACATCGCGGACTGCTGACTGGGATCCAATCAAGCACAGCGACTTCAGCCCTGTCACTCAGTGCGACCCTGACATCAGCTTGGCCAGAAGTAGCGGCCTCTGGGTTTCCGGAAAGGCGCAAGTGCCATCTGATGTCCGGGTTTGCCGGAGATGTCATTCTGATGACGGCACTGGCTTCTTGCAACCTGGGTCCGGAAAGGCAACAGATGTCCACCGAGAGTGTCTCAAGCGTGCGGGCCAGACATGCTTATCGTCTCATCTGCATCAAAGTGTCCACATTGAACGCTGCGAGGCCGAATGAAGAACCAGGACAAAGGAAAGTTTAGGCTTCGGTTGCGTGTGAGAATGTTGTGACCACCGGGCAACGAACACCAAACCTTTGACTCAGAACTCTGTCAGATGCAGCCAGTGAGCTGTTGTTGACGGTGACCGGGGAAGACATAGGTGTAGTTGAAGTACAGTACGTGGGACTATCTGTGAACACAAATTGAGCAGTAGCGACATTAAAGCTAGTAGACATAGCAGGAGGGAAAGCTTTAGTGTAATCCATTCATGACTCGTCAGTGAACGTGATAATACCCTGTTGCTCAGGCCGAAGTAGAGCGTTGTCTTAGGGGGCCCCATCCCGAGCCTTTGATCCAGAATCGAACCTACAAGACAGCAGGGCAATATGAGGGTATCGCAACCCGTTGGGAGCCGGTGACCAAACAAGTGGTTCGTACGCCTTTAGGACCGCATAGGACCAGGGGCCCAACACACCCTTGAATTACAATGCCGCCCAGCGAGAGGCAAGGGGCAGTGATTTTATTCAGTGGCGAGTCACATCCGCCAGGTCCCTGTTCTTAAACGGGCATATGTGGCTTTTTATAGGGAGAACGCTTGCCAGAGGAAAACCCACCACGTCCTGGAACACTGCAGCCGAACCATTCACTGGGTCGGGATAATCCCGAACTACCCAGCTGGCACCACGAGGAGGTTGTACGGTAAGCCAGTGTGTTGGGCACACTGGTCGTCAAATTGTTGAGACAGTCGGCTTATGGCAGTTGAGCGTTAGCAACGCAACATCTTCATCCTGAAGGAGAGTAATTCGATCATTTTATCGGACTTTGGGTATATCTGTCGTGCTATTTGTTATCCCCTATTCCTAGTCCTTAAGACTTATAGTCATTATGCCGAATGACTAAGACGCGATTAGACTAATTATGTTAAAACTGAATGTATTGTCATTCTTAAACACACATTTTGCGCCTAAGGAGTAGGCATGCTTACCTGCTCGACTATGACATCGTGTAGGGGTGCGGAACGCCACGATCTGACGGAAGACTGGAAAACCACAAAACAGTAAAAAACGGAAACAGTCGAGGACACTGTGGATGAAATTAGACGGCACAACCCAAGCTCCGAAGAACAAGCTGAGACGGGATCGTGGACGACGAACGGTAGTTGTCGTGAGTCCGGGAGAACAGAGAAGTTATTGGCCAAAGGGCTAGTAAACGAGGCAGAAACGCCTTTCCGTATCCTCTGGCTTCGATCCTTAGCAGACTAATGCTATAGCGATTAAGTATCTTGGCACACATTCAAGCTGGTCAGATTGCGATTAAGGGAGGCGAAGATAAGGAGTCAAACTGACAGAGAAGCTTCATCAAGTTGTGATGAAACAGCGCATGACTATGACGGACGGTCTCAGTTACCCTGATTGATGCATCTTGGGACGGAAACATGTAAGTATTCGCGTGTTTATTTGAGCTTGTTTTATCGTTGTTGCGTGCCATAAATTTTGCGCTTACTTCCTGCTTCGTTCTTGTTACGATCGTACGCCCACGTGGCATGCGTGAAGTGTGCGTAACACGTGTATAGCACAGAACAGAGTATGGAAGTGACTACGAGTTGAAGTGCATTCCATTGGTTTGTTGTTAGTAAGATGTCTCCGTGTCGAAAAACATCACCGCAATTACTGGGGACTGTTATTTTTTGTACTTAAGATTCTCGCCCATTCCATCTTATCGGACTCGTTCAGTTCCAGGTTTCCTTCCAGCATTTAATCATTGTTCCATTGCATCTGTCTTGCGTATTACCTCTGGAACTTTGGTATCAATGTATTAATTCACACCATCAATGGCTTGGTAATAATACATAAACAATTACGACCAAAGTCTTCCTGGAGTCCTGGAGTTCATCTACCTAGGCTCCAGCGAACCTCTCTAGTTATATTGGTCGTTGAAGATCACATTAAGTGCAGTGCGCTTCTCCCTTACCGTTTCTGTGGATACTTGTACGATCGCCCTACTATCGTCAACAAGGGTTGTTTGTCCTGTTCGTGTAAGTACGTGGAACCAGTCACATCTATGTATGCAGTTTTTTGATTACGCCTTATACGTGACGCTAGGTCTCAACGATCCACTGAGCATTGATTTTTGCATTTTCAGCGTCACTCAGATCAGATTGGTTAATAGGTAGAGGCTAGACTAACTCAATCTCCTGGCGCTCCAACTTGGGAATGGAAGACACGTCTGGACATGGCCGGGTACATATGATCGCATACCGTTGCACTCCGAGTTGGACACGTCACCCTGAGATCGATGACACCACGATGTATCATCGGGTTTGATGGGGCCAATGCAGCAAACGCGACAAGTCTCCATGCAGACAAGCTCATGAATAGCATGGGAGGTCGGCTAAATGGGTTTTAGGTTCACTTGAAATGTCTGCATTTGTGAGTTCAGTAGCATGTTGATAACTGTGGCCAATGCGGATGGTCATGACCGAAATAATAGCAAAGAGCCGGATGGAACAGGGTGAGCACATCAGACGGACTGGAAGCAGTCCAAGCCGGGTGTAATCATGCACCTGTTAACACGGCGCGGATGGCTCCCAAATTGTTAGGCGCAACAATCAGGACTCATAAAGCTGGACCAAATGTGAGTAAACACAAGCTTGCTCGCGACTGAATCCGAAGATACAAATGTAGACTTTTCGGAATGCTAGCTTATCCACCTTGGAAATACTTTGCAACTGTAACGCATCAAAAGAAACGCAGTGCCGACACTTCGCTGCCACGTAACTATCACCGGTCGTATTGCGAGGGTCACCATGCCCTTATACAGGCTCGGACCCGCGCCGTCAGATTTCAAGACAAGCTTGTTGTCTTTAGGCTACCGGCAGTTGTCATCGCCTCTGTTTTTGCATTAATCCATTTAACATTTAATTACTATTACAGGGGACCAAATCTACCGATGTGAATCTTGCGATAAGTGTTTTTATGAAAGGCAAAAGCTTCGAAAACACATGGACACCGTGCACTTGAGTGAGTATTTGTTTGATGACTTTTCTGTTGCTTTTGTTTTTCTAACTTTCTGCTTTGTGTTTGAGCTGAATTTCATCATCATTCTGCCCTCTGGAAATCTATTTCCTACATTGCTATTTTCTTTTGTTATTTGTTGATCTAATTACGCTTCTCCTGCCCTCAGTGCCTCTTTGTCTCTAAGACTGCTCATGCATTACTGGTTGAAGGTACTAGTCAGGCATTCTGGTACAATTGTGGCAAGTGTACGGATGCGGAATCAGCGGTGGAGCATGGAAGGGCAATGCTCAAGCAAGCGCAACAACAGGGCTAGTATGCAGTGAAGTGGTAGACACGACTTTTGTTGTGGCTAACTAAAACCGTTCTGTTGGGATATTGTCTCTGAAAAAGTAACCTGTGCCAGCACACCCCATTCTTTCAGCGCGAAAATTATTTGAGACAAAATGCATCTCCCGTTGTTTGGAGACCATTTCATTCTGTCACGCGAGTCATTCACCCACCTCCTCTTTGGTCGGCTCGATACTGCACTACTAATTTTGACAACTCACTTAACTTTTCACAATAGGAGCGTTCTTGGTGTACGAATGTTCGCTGGTCCTCTTACTACCTTTGCCATCTTCATATTTGATTATTCAACGCGGTTTTGCCTCGATCAGTTGATTTTTGCTTTGTCCGGCGATTGGGATTTGGCGAGGACTATAACGCGATCCCTACCGGAATCACACAGAACGCAGCGGGTCTAACAATTAGCGAAGCCAAAGTGATCCTGCAGTAGGCCATCTTGTAGAACAGTTCACAACTACAGCCATAATCGAAGCTGTTTGAAACTTTTACTCAACAGCGCAGTTCGCAATCTTCAGTAATATTTCTACACGGTTTTTAGCAGCCCTGATTATTCCTCCGTAAAGCGACTTCTGTTCCGAAAACATGACGCCGGCGATGACCTCATTATAAATCGTGACTGCCTTCAAAATATATTCAGACAACGAAGATCGTTCAACAATACTTGTCAATGGGATCCCTTCGAGGTTGCAGTTCGATACGATCCCTGACCTAACTATTAGTTCCGGAATTCTATGGAGTCACATCAAGAGGCCGAAAGTTGTTACTTCCGACCAGAGGCGTAGCAAGTGGGAGGCGCAGGAGTCGGTCCGCTCCGGGCGACATGTGACGGGGCGGTATTTTTAGTACCGTTGATTGTTCGATACCAAATATAAAGGGCAAAATTTCCAGATACACTGAGAGTTCAATATTTTGATTTTACTATGTTTGCCCAACAGGTCTTTTGCTCCATGTGTCACACTTATGCAAACGTTCTTCCCCTTACTTGTCTCATTGTGGTCACTTTCATGACATTTACTTCAGTGTCCCAGACGATCCTCCGTTTCACCGAAAACTGATGTGCACTTTACCCTGAGCCTATTTTGAAGGTTTTGCGGATTTATAGGTCCCCTGGCGGTAAAATTACTCACTGCGCCACTGCTTCCAACAAAGTGCATTACAACGAGTCTGGCAGAGTTGTAAATCCGTTTGGAGAAATTGGTAAGTTAGAACACAGGGACCCAATTCACTCCATGAAATTAGCATGCATTTGCTGAAATGCATTGCCCCACGGAATTGTGCCGGAGACCGTGTCGAAGTGTTCTTAAACAGATACTGTGGATTTGTATAGGGAGAATGCTTTCCAGACGAAAAGCCAGTATGCTGTTTAATGCAGTTGATCCTCAGTTTACCCGAGTAGAGTAATCCCGAACTATCCAGCTGCCACCACGAAGATATTGTTCTACAAGCCAGATTTAGAGAAGACTTTCTGCACGTCAACTTAGTGTGTACTGCTCCACTTTCGATGTTGTCCAGCACGTCTGTTCGGACTAGTTAGAGTGACATGAGTTGTGATACCCTAGACCATGTATTGTAAGACATCGAGTAAGTGGTTTGCCATCTAGGGTCATGACATTGTAGTCGGTACTGTACTTATAAAACAGTTCACTTATTAGTCGCCGGTGACATTTTCCACGTGGTTTGAGTCGAATAAGCACTAGAGTGTCATTGGAGCGACTGGATGTAAGGAGTACCCGATATCATCGGAAAAGCAATAAGATGTGCTATATTTGATCAAATTGAAGACGTTAAAAACATCAGGGGGTCAGGCACGCTGTCTTGTATGACACCGTCGGCAGCCGTCTTGGGTTTTGCGGTCTATCTATACCACGTCTGCCCAACCAGAGAGGTGCCATTTACACCAAGTCAGCATAGGGTCCTCATTATTAATAAATCAATGATATATTCAAATTTAATTTAGCGTGTCGGTCATGTGATTGGATTGCGGCACGCAATCTCTACTGGGACCTCGGTTTACTTTAGGGAAGACATTGGTCATTCCTATCGGAGGGAAGGTATTTTGATGTCACATTTCCACCACACGGCGGGTACTCCAAATTCAACTTTGAATTCTTTACCGCTGTGACAAGTGTTGCTCACGGATCTCAGTGGCATAATGATCGAGGCGTCAGCTATGAACCATAAGGCCCCGAGTTTCCCCAGCTCAGACTATCTCCATCTGATGGGTCCAAACGATAACGAAACCGATCATGGTGTCATCGTTGGGAATAGCAACACCGAAACACCTCTAATTTGTATACGGTCGTTGTGATCGGAATGACTGAGGTGTACTTCAAAGTGAACCGAGGCCATGAGTTCCACCCAGCTTAAGCTATCTCCATCTGTTGAGTCCAAACGAGGACGAAACCGGTTATGGGTTCCCAGGGTGGGGAGAGACAAAACCGGACCACTTCCAATTCGGATGCGGTCCTTGTGATCGGAATGACTGAGATCTACTTCAAAGTGAACCGAGGCCCTGAGTTCCACCGAGCTTAGGCTATCTCCATCTGATGAGTCCAAACGAGGACGAAACGGGTTATAGGGTCCCAGGGTTGGGAGGGACAACACCGAACCACTTCCAATTCGGATGCGGTCCTTGTGATCGGAATGACTGAGATCTACTTATAGTGGACCGAGGTCTGAATAGAGATTATGTGTCACAATCCAACCACACCGCGGGTACTTTAAATTCATATTTGAATTCCTAACCGCTGTGCCAATCGTTGCAAAACAAAAACCTTTCCATTCCTAATGGTATATTTTTGGCAATGCGAGATACGCCTGCATGCACATGATCACGATAAATGACTCGACTAATCGCTGAGCGTATATCAACGATAGATGCAAAATTTATCTGTGTCAGTTATGGATTTCTCGAAGGTTTTATATTCGAGATTAGTAACACTTGTAGATGTGCCACGATTGTGTGGATTACTAAAAAGATTCAATGCGACTGTTGATTAACTATTTTTGCTACGCAAAACTGTTCTCTGCGTATTATAGAGCGCCGTTGGGCAGCTCTGATCACTCAACAATTAAACTATGTCCTGTGATCTACTCTAAGACAAAGCATAAGGTGTCTAATCGTTGCAGCGACCGTAGGTTCAGTTGGAGGCATTGTTCCTCACAGCATATTGACCGGCTGCAGGCAGTGGTATCATCCACCGACTACAGTTTATTGTTTGACACTGTTTCCACGTGTTGCTATCAATTGACAACTTATTTGAACTGTTGTTTTGACATTTGTTGTCCATGCGAACCTCTGTTCATCCCTGCGGACCCAACCTAAAGCGGCTACCTAGACAGAAAGAGGAAGATTTCAAAGGAAAAGCCAACGCTTTAGTAAAGTCATTCTCTGTCCTCAAAATGGAGGAGTTGCACCGTCTCAACAACTAGTACGTTCAGGCTATATTTGGCAACGGTAGCTACCGTGAACTCGGGAAGATGTTATAACAACCAAGCTAGCTTATTCGAAGTACATCAACCTCCGACGTATATGTGGAGTAACTGAATCATGACTTCTTCAAAGGCTACAACAATCCGATCTCTGATTCATCCTTTGCCCAGTTTAAATTGTCTGCAATCTGACTGCCCCCTATGGACAGCGGCACTGTACACTAGTCACTGAAACAGCTTCACTCAAGGAAAGCAAGTGGTCCAGTCGGACTGGCTCCCATGGTGTTATTTTACCGGTTGTACTCAGATCACCCGATTGGGAGGCAGAAGCTGCTCGCACGTACTCACAAACACCGGTGTTCTTCGTGGAACTATTCTGTCACCATTTCTTACTATTCACCTATTCTGTGTGCTTAAAGTACTTTCTTAAGAAGAAATTAACAAATGTTAAGTGAAGCGGCAAGTTATGTAAGACTTAGACTGTTATTGGTCGATTAGGTTTCGAGTCAGGAAGTGCTCTACTGTCCTAAACACAATTTCGCATTTTTGATCGTGGACAGATTTGTTACGTGACTTCTTGGTCTCATAGTAAGGAAAAGAAAAAAGAAGGTAGTTCTTGAAACGATGATGCTAAAGCGTTAGCACCAGCAATGATCACAATTTTTCGAAGTAGGAAAGTTAGACGGTTTAAATTTGAGGAACTTTACAGTTGATGCATTGTTACACCATGTGAGGTTCCGCGCAATTTGTGACCATGCAAACGTTTCTTCCACGTGATACATCTTAACCGGCTCTTAGGCTTGCTTATCAGAACCGGTTAGGTGACCGCAACGGATGAATGCCGAGCTACGGTATCGAGACGCGAAGTTGTACTGGGGCAGAGTTCGTGGAAACCTGACGAAATCAAATTACCATCCACCGGTTGTTATGTGGACCACGGGGCAGCAGACCAACTCAGTTCGTCATGGTGGCACCGGTTGCTATCATGCAGACACGAGTTGAGATGCAACCAAATACTGGAGACCGTCAACACTTGTGAAGTTAAGTAGGCAACTGATCGTCAATCGGCTAAGCAACGTACCGTCGGATTGGAAGTCAGAGGTGAGAACTTGTGACCATGCTCTGTCGGTAACATATCCTGGCCTGGCGAGTTATGTCTTCCGTTTTCCCTGTCTGGATTGGACGAAGCACCTAGCAGAGGTCAGTGGCAGAACAGCGTTACAGCTGAACCTCATCAAGAAAGCATGTACACTTGGAATACTGGTAGCTTGGGAGACTTATCCACTCGTTCCGATGTTCGTCGAGCTTGGTGACTTGATTGCAGTCGTTTCATCACCACCCTGGGTAAAACCTGGTAGAAACCAAAAGGAAAACGAGAAACGCAATAACGGCGGAATTTCGTGTATAAAACAAATTGTGGAAAGCACTATGTGGCAAAAGCAAGCTGTCAACAAGGATACTAGAAGACAAAAGGGCGTACGAGAAACACTATGCGGTCTCCTTGGTTTCAACACACTTGTATTAAGAAGGACACAAATTCTGCTGGAACAAGACTGCGATCCTGACCCAAAGAGCAATGCAAAAAAGGAGAGAGTTTCTCGGAACCTGGTTCTCAACCACTCTCAGTCAATATGCATATTGACATCGATCCAGTATAGCAACCAGTGAAACAGGAAGCTCAAGAAGATTAACAACTACTGTACGAAAAAACCCAATCCAACACCCAGCCAATAAACAGAACGGTCAATGTGAGCCCAGACTGCTCACCCACGCTCATCGCACCAACCAGTTCGCAACAACACTTGTGCAACCGATGGTAATGATTCGAGCACCTGCACAGAACACAACGAATCACCAATTAGAGTGAGGCGAGCTTTCTGTGCCCATATAAGAGACGAAGCAGTGGCTGACCATATCCATCATTGGGTTTTGCTTTTTACACCAGCTCCTGCTAACTGACTGCTATCAATCCTGTAACTAATATCTCATCTCGAATGGTGACGAAACGTCTGCAATCCAGTTGCCTAACTCAGCGAACACAACAGCAGATGAAAAGTAGGAACAGCTGCCTGCTTTGTGTACTAACTGTGACATCATGGTGAGATTTCCCTGCTCGGGGAAGTCATCGAATGTAAAACAATCTGTTTAGATTCATTTACATCTTTCATTGTCTCGCTTGTATTTTTACATTGCCGTTACAGGGCTTCAGAACCATAGATGCGAACATTGCGATAAATCCTTTACGGAAAAGGGAAATCTGCGTAAACACGTTGACGCAGTGCATTTGAGTGAGTGTTTGTCCATGAGTGTTTTCAATGTTTCTGGGTAAATTACCTCTGATTACAGTGTTTTTTGCTCTTCCTCATCTACATTCTACCGTCTGACACTGTTTCGCATGACACCAATCGTTTAACGTTTTGCCACAAATAGCATCCTTCGCACTCCTCTTGGCTTTCGCGAGCCGTTGTTAGTAACCGGTGTGTCACACTACTTATTGCGTGTGGACTACAAATGTCATACAGGCTTTCTGGAGATGACTATGGCCAGTTGATAAAGGCGTGGTTGGTGTACAGAAGCGAAGACTGCTTAAACACGGGTGAAAATTACTCGGGCATACACATTTTTATGGGGCATTAAGCAACAAAAATTTTTGCCGAAACTTACTATCTCAGCATTACGGTTTATGTGTGCTACGGTGTTAAGCTATTTCCGTTGTTTACCTCTAATACTTGGTTTCGTTTTGGTCACCAGTCGCAATCAGGGTAGCCATATTTTTGAAAGAAAACTGTTCATTTCTTGTCTCAACGAAAGAGATCATCGAGTACCAATAGTGTGTTCATTTGTCAGCGCAGTATACTAGATGGGTCAGTAGGCTAGTGAGAAAAGTGCTTTTTCTGAAAATTCGTCGCAGTTGGACTCAGGCAGACAGTCATCACACATTTAAGGAAGCGCTAGGCGGCCGTTTCATCCTCTTGGAACTCATCAGTAGCGCGCACCCGCCTAATCCTGCCGGATTCAAACCCGCGACCTTACTCTTGCGAGCCACTGAGCCACGGGTGTCAGCAGTGGACCGTCATGACTGCTATCTAACTGCGGTATAGCGCTGTTCATCCTCCACTGTCATGCATGTAGTGAACGTGCAGTAGACAGAGCTGGCCCCCGGAGCAACGACTTCGTTTGTAAGCCGCCAACAATTGGGTGGCGTATAACCTGCTAAGGCGACCACTGATTATTTATAAGTAGAAGGGGGTTATTTTGTTTTTGTGTATGTTCGTCACAGTTGGACTCAGACAGACAGCCACCACACATCCAGAAAAGCGCTGGACGGTCGTTTCGTCCCATTGCGACTCGTCAGTAACGCGCACCCGTCTAATCCTGCTGGATTCGAACCCACGACCTTACTCTTGCTGTCTGTTTGGTGTTTCCATTCCACTCCGTTCGGTGGAAGTGTCACCCTCGCTCGACCCCCTGTAGCGTACTGCTAAGGCATCAGCAGTATGCCGGTGCGCAGTACCGACACTTCGCTGCCGCGCAATCAACACCGGTTGCATGCCGACTAAGGATATTGTGAGGGTTGCCTTTCCTTTTCGTAGCCTCGAACCGCCCCGTCATATTACAAGATTAGCTCATTTCCTTTAGGCTACGGGCCGGCGTAGCCTACTGATTCGGTATTCTCAAGCGTTCTTTTCACCTAAACGACATTCGCCTCATAGCGGCTACAATTTTTGGCATTCTCTTTACTAAAAACATGCTTTTTCTTCTTATCCAAGGCTGAAAAGTTAGGAAAATAAAACTTGTTAGTTATGAAATGTTGAATGGGAAATTCAACAATGTGGGCGTTGCATAGGATGGAAGAGTACGTCGGACCACATCCACTGGTCATTGTCAACACATATGTGTTTCTTCTAACCCTCTATGAATGTTTGCATCGATCAGAGCTACTTATATCAACTATTACCAAGGGAAACTGCTTAAGACTGGGGCGAAAGTGGCGGTTGAAGAGGTGAAATTGTAAAGGCTATGTTTGGTACTAGAAGCATACGTGGGCCCTTCCATCTAACACGTAATAGAAACCATGAACCTGTGGGATAGCATGATCGAGGACATTGTGAATGGTCGTTTAAGATGCGGATTGCGAAAAGATTTAGATGAACTATCCTCTTTCACCACACCTTTCCTGGTGTTAGAAAGTTCGATGGGTATAACCGATTTAAAGTAAAACGCAGAATGAGGATGTACAACAGATAAAGTGTATATGGTTTGCTTCCTTCCTTAGTTTTTGACCTGTGTGATTTATTGTAACCGTAGTGGCGGCCTACTTTGCGTTTTTTAATTGCCTTTGATTTGGAAACCTTTTGGACAATATAGCTAATTATCCTCGAGACATTTAGGACAGCTTCCTGCTTTAACAGCTTCAATGCTTTGCAGTGGGATCACTGCTCAGCAGCCAAACGAACTTCATCACTCGGCCTGACGTTCGCACCAACAATTTAAGCATCGATCTACATTCTCGCTATCAAATTAGGTCTTCCAACCACATGCGAGAAATCCACTGCTTCATCTTAACTGTCTATGGGATCACGGATTTATTAATACTCTTTCTTCTGGCCGGAGCAGTCCATCGCGTCGAGACGACATTTATGTGGTGAGATGATTTGCATACCTCAACGATTCATGCAACTACGCTACATGTTTCTTTTTACACAAACTTTCATCGTGCCCTGATAGCGCAGCTTCGATTTTCTCGTGTTTTGCTTGCCGGTACTCAATTGCTCACGTAGCAAACGTTTCGGTATTCTAATCGCATGCATACGGCGGAAATGTCAGTCACTTCAGACGTGTCTGTGTCAGGATACATTCCATTCCGTACATGTCAATCCTGCGAAACATTTCCGTGTCATGAATTCAGTCACATTTTCGCATACGCTGCGTTAGACGTAGGCTTTGCTAATGAAATCCTTCCAGATACCCTTGCGGTTCTTGTACAGAGTCTATGCTTCCCTTCCGTAGAGGAGGGCTGACAGTGCCACTGACTTGTACGCTGTCATCTTGGTTCCGAAACTCAAGTGTTATTTCTTCCAGATCCGGTTTTCCAACTTCCTTCAAGGCGCATACTGGGTTAAACAGCTCGCTGGCCATTTCTAAGTCCGCCGATAGCACACTAACGAGGTGGCATAATTGCGATGAGCTCTGCAAAACATCAACAGTGATACTGGATTTCACTGCTAGTAGTAGGTAGAAAATATTGTCTTATCGGTTATTTTCAGAAATTGCTATTAGGCGGCGATCTGACGACACATATCGGAACGAACGGTCTCGGCTGTGCGAATTAAGTACAGTGAATACAACAAATTGTACCGAAGCAACGTGTTTCTGCATAGATGATTTTAAGGCAGAGTAGAAACGTACAACTTACGAATAAATGAACTGACTCGCAATTAGACTTAGATGTAATTCCACCTGTTCAGCTCTTTCAATTACGTAATAAGTGGTGCATTAAAACAAATTGTCTGGATGTCTGGACTATGTACCTCGACTTCAGTAAAGAAACAAAGGTCATCTAGTAATGATTTAGAGGAATATATAAAATAGGGTTCAGCAGGTAATTTAGATTTTAAATGTGTACAGGGTGTTTTATTAATCTGGTCCGAAACTAGAAGCGGCTACACTCATGTGATGATGTACACCGGTACGCTGAATTGCTAACTGTCCAATAGCACAAATTGCTTTGCAGGCAGCGGTGAGATGGGACACAGAAGCCACATGTGTGCCTACGATTGCAGAGCACCGAGTCGTTCGGCTGTGAGAACAAAACGTTAGAAAACGCCACAGCCGCCATGAATGCGTCATGCATTGACCGCAGGGCGAGACCAACGCACCGCATGCCGTTCGGCTGTGAGAACTGGAAGTGAGCGAGACACCACATAGCCGCACTGAACGTGTCCTGCTTCGATCGATCGGTAGTCGACCTTCATGCACGTGAAAAGCCAGCAAACGTCTTTCCTGCGAAGTGATTAGTGGGTCGCTGTGCTAGCAACTGGGAAAAACAGCCTGGCCATATGTGATGACCGGTCGGTGGGCGCGGTATTGCTATTGCCACAAAAGTTGTTATCACCTCATGACTGGCTTCCAACAAACCTGTAAGCTTTTATTAGGCTGTTTTCGCTGCTAAAGGAAATCATACTGCCGGGAGCACATTGTAAGGTTACGGTGTTGTTCGCTTTACCATTTTGATCGCGTGTGGGTGCATGGGTGCATAAAACCGAATTCTTGACCTGACTTGACGTGACGACACTCTTAGAGTCCAGTCTGCCCCGACGCACTGGTGGCACCATTAGACAGCACACCAATTTTATCATGAATGCAACTATTGCCCCCACAGTCAGACAATTGCTAGTTGTACAAATTGACCAGGCCTTCGGTGATGTTTCTCGTGTACAATGGCGAATATACATATCTTCATTTATTTACTAAAATGTCTATGAAAGATGTGAAATGTCGGTAAATATCAATGAATTAGATTTCAAAGTGCCCACCGTCGTTTTAGCTACAGAGGCGCATTCGCCGGATGGTGTTGGCAAACACTTTCTGCAATGTCTCCAACAAAATCTGCCTATATTCGTTCACAATGTTTTCTTTCTGTTCTGCCAAGTTTTTGGGTTTCGTTCTATTAACTCTGCGCTTCGAGTATCCCCATTGGAAAAATTCATAGGATTCAGATCTGGTGGTCGCACAATCCATTCTATCGGTCCTCCTCGACCGATCCAACGTCCACCGAATGTCTCGTTCAGGTAGCCACGAACCTATTGGGCCGAATGTGCAGTTGCGCCATCCTGCTGCTACCAAACGTTATTCATTAACCCTTCCGACTGTAGCAGCGGATTCTCTTTAGCAGCGAAAACAGCCTAATAAAAGCTTACGGGTTTGTTGGAAGCCAGTCATGAGGTGATAACAACTTTTGTGGCGATAGCAATACCGCGCCCATCGACCGGTCATCACGTACGGCCATGCTGTTTTTCCAAGTTGCTAGCACAGCGACTCACTAATCACTTCGCAGGAAAGACTTTTGCTGGCTTTTCACACGCATGAAGGCCGACTATCGATCGATCGAAGCAGGACACGTTCAGTGCGGCTGTGGTGTCTGGCTCACTTCCAGTTCTCACAGCCGAACGGCTTGCGGTGCGTTGGTCTTGCCCTGCGGTCAAGGCATGACGCATTCATTGCGGCTGTGGCGTTTGCTAACGTTCAGTTCTCACAGCCGAACGGCTCGGTGTGCTCTGCGATCGTAGGCACACATGTGGCGTCTGTGTCCCATCTCACCGTTGCCTGCAAAGCAGTTTGTGCTATTGGACAGTTAGCAATGCAGCGTACCGGTGTACATCATCACCTGAGTGCAGCCGCTTCTAGTTTCGGACCAGATTAATAAAACACCCTGTACAATTGCGGTTATCCGATTATCGTGGTTACAAATGGGAAGAAAAGTCTACTACTTATAAAATAGCTAGTAGTAAAGTCGCACCAACGAATCAGGAATCCTAGCTATCACTTACATCGGTCAATTGGGAATTTTTTCGATACATTCGTCAAATGCATACCATTTGAAGCAGATAACGAAAAGCTATTAATAGCTATAGACAAGTAAAGGATGTTAGATGATAAGTGTGACAGTAAAATTGGATCTTTTTATATACACCTGTCAATATCAGATTCAAACAAGTCACGATGGACAGGTGGCATTGATGCCGGCTATCTGCGTGAGGGCCAGCACAGCTTTAGCGTTTGCGCGAGAGCTCTCTGCTTGCATAATTTCGGCTGTAAGCGTCTGATGGCAGGAACTTCAGCTATTGTCAGGATGCATCTTGAGCCCCTTTGACTATCGCTTCGGAGCAACTAGGTGAACCTTAGATGAGTCTTTAACCCGGCATTGATGCCCAGTGTTAATCAGGTGCTCACAGGTAGAACTATGGACACTCCTCTAGATTCCAGGGCAGTACTCTGTTATGCGTTTTGATGGACGTCAGGTGTTGTGTCCGATGTACCTAACACCACAGGTGTAGGCGAACTGTTATAGTACAAAGCATTCGGACTCAAACGGTAGTCTATCTTTGAGATGTTACGTGTTGAGAGTAGACGTTTCCGCAAGGACTTGAACTCGAGCTGCTAGATGCGTCTTGTTTAGCGCAGAAGACTACTGATAAAGTAGCTCGAGGGGAATATGCCGTTTGAAGGGAACAGAGAGAAAGACATCTTTCTTTCTAACTCTGAGCACAGATTCAGGTGGGGATTTGGAATTTATACCGGTTGTGGCGGTGAGTACGAACGTGGCCATTGTTAAAGTGAGCCGTCGTCGTGGATTTGCTACTCATTTTCATTTGCACAGACAACACACAGTCACCGGCAAATAACAGCATCCGGATGGTTGTTTTACACACTCGGGTTCTCGTCCGCTTATCTTGGGTTGCTCGAGATGAACACTTTAGTCACCGTGATTACCTAGTTCGTAAGAACAGACAGCGGTTGAAGACGACGATGTATCACAATCAGACAGATACAGATGATGTCGTGTCGTCCAAAGCAAATCTACACTGCTATCTCCTTCTCTGTTTCACCGAGCCCAGACTGTGTAGAGAGCAAGCGGGCAAGAAGGCCGCTTGCAAGGAGTCGGTGAGCAAATCCGAGGAGGTTACTGAAACGTCAGTTGCAGAGACCTCTAGTTCCACCTTCGCGACGCACAACAATGTGGATCGGGATGGCACGAATCTCCTATTATAAGGGAACCTCTGAATTAATCCGGTGAGTACTAAACAAGGAGAAGATAAGAGTGGCTTTTAAAAGAGTCAATCGCTCTGTTCAACACTGGTGTGTTTGAGGGATTCGCTTCCAAGAAATAGGATCATTTGCAAAGACTGGGAGCGCGTGTGCTTAGGTCAAACAGCGAGAGAGCTAGCTATGAGGATGGCAGAACAAAGGGACACGTTTCGCGTCCATTCAGAAACGAGCGCCAAAGGCGGGACACGAAATCGACTGGAACAATTTCGAGATAATTATTGGCAGATTACGAGCAACAAGTCAGCGGTTGATTGTTGCGGCGGTCGGGATTAATAAGAGAACAGAACGCTTGGGTGAAGTTATCAAACGCGTGGAATCGGGTATGAGGTCACGGAGCGTATAACGTAAGCTCTAGACGCTTTTGCTAACTTTCACCACCTATAGCACCGGCACGACATAACTCTTTCCCTGAATGATAGATTTTGCAATTTAAGTATTCATCCGACCCTACTGTACTTTCGTGAAACCTGGCAGACGTAAAGAGAATAGTTACGTTCGACAACCGGGGCCTTCGAGGTTTAGTTCATACCAGGTGGTAACACCGTGTGAACAATGAGCGTGTTCGGCAGTACGTATTCGTTGCCGGAAGAGGACGTGAACCGCTCAGCACCGTTATTTCACGCACCAGGCTCCGATGGCTGGGCCGCGTGTTGCGCATGGAAGCCCACTGACTTCCGTGACCTGCTTTGTTTGCACGCCGGAGGTGTGAATGGATGAAAAGAAGAGATGGCCAAGCGATGACTTGGCCAAGAGGAATGAAGGCGGTTAATTCAAAATTGGTCTTGTTTGGTGCATCTCGGCCCCCTGGTTGGGGAATGATGGATAATGAACACGATCTCATTTATTATGCATAATATAACTCATTTTTGCAGCAGAATAACGAACTGTTTGCTCTCCGGAACTATGTTCATCCGTTACTGATGACTCAGCAGGCATGTCGTTCATACTTTTGTTTTCGTTTCTATTGTGGCACAATATCTGAGATGTTTTCCACATGCAGCTAACGTTTATTATAATGATAGTGATTGGCTGGATACACACTAGTTTGCTTTGCCAAAAACTGACTTCAGTGGCGTTCGTGTTGCGAGTTTTCTTATTCCTACTCCAACTACGAAATTTTTTTGTTCGCATAATGTCGACTGTTTTTGCGGCACAATAGCTGGCACTTGTTTATTCGGAACGTTGTCTATTCGTTGTTGGTGGCATGTCCCTGTCACCTTTCTTTTCTCATGTATTGCAGCACAATGGCTTAGGTGTTTCCCACCTCTAACTAACGTGTATACTGATTATGCTAGGCTGTATTGACTCGCCCAGTCAGTAAAGGTGTCTTCGGACGAACTCAGGTCGGAGCTTGAATCAACAACAGCAAGAACAGACTACCTTACATTTGAACGACTGTGCTAGGAGACCAGCTATTAGACATTCATTTTTAGTGAACGAGCTTAATAGCTATTCTTTACTCTTCCTATTTTCTCCTTCTTGACTGTTGGTTAAACGCTCTACTGGGTTAGCCCGATTGGTACACCCACGTCATTGTTACTGCACGGTCATCGTCATGTCCTTTTCAGCAGTGTCATTTGCAAGAACATATTCCACTGGTTTTTTCTTCTCATCAATGTTCTGCTTGGTTACGTTAAAAGAACATTTAGTTGTCACACGATTATTGTATTAGTTTTTAATTTTTGGGTCTGCATTTCTTATTCTCCTTTGTTTCGTAACATTTGTTTAAACGCTTCATTTCGTTATTCTGATTGGCCAGTGCCCGTCACTGTAAATGGATGTTCACTTTACGCTTGGGGTCCCATGATGCTATTTTTAAGGATATACGCGATTCGCTCTTGAGTACACGGTTGCTTAATCGCCGTTGCATTTGACGTTTTTCCTTCAGTTGGTTGGCTCAAGTGTACTTTAGTAGCTTCCCTTCATTTTTCCTTCAAACTATATAAGCAACTGTGATTTCATGTATACAAGTCTCTTCCTGACGCGTCTTTGGACTTCTTCTTGCAGTCGTGGGGTGAAGACGTCAGCGGCGACACAACAAACCGGTGACGCGGATCAATGAGGAATGCTCGATGCTTGTTGTTACACTAGAATGTCCACTTTGTCTGTTTATATGTTTCCCTGTTATCCATCGATTCGTGCTATTCCTTGCGATCTTCACCTTGCTCTCTCATAAAAGGCTAAGCCAATTCTGTACCGATCCACCTGGCCTGAAGAGACTCTTACGCCAAGAGCGAAACGTTGCCACAGTGAAGTTTACAATAACTTATTTGCATTCAAATTCATCTGAAACCGTGTTCACAAGCATTGCAAACACATAACATCAGGACAGTTAGATACATCTTGAATAGGGACATTGTTCTGCCGCGTCGTCTGTACACACGCTTGTGACAGTCGTTCACTGTGCTGTTATCCGGTAGCTTCGCGTTTACCTCCCATGTGCTATCGCACAGTGTGTTTTAAGAAGTTTGAGACATTTCGGGGCCAGCTACTTTTTTGAGTGGTTGCACAGATATTAAAATGTCTTCAATTATGCTTTTAATGTCACGCAAACGTAGTGCAAAATTCCTTTTACCCAATGCTTTAAACGAGAGAACAAGATAAATGTTAGCATTATGGCTAGAATGTTTACTTTTTACCCGCCATCAACTAGCTAGTCGTAGAATGTAAGCTTAGCGATGTATTCGTTGCTCAAGTCTTAATTACACTACGATTCTCGATTTTCTCTTATGCTCTTCATGAATGATGCTGTTCTTTTTTACCGTTCCAGAACACCGAGCACACGCATGTGAGTACTGTGAGAAATCTTTTTCCCAAGCTGCTCATCTCAGGGCTCACGTAATCTCCGTCCACTCGAGTGAGTGCTTCGTTTGTCTCTGATATTTTTCAGTAACTTCGCAATGGGCGCTCTCAGGCAGTCGGCAGCTACACACCCGGGAAAGCAGTGGACGACTGCCTCATCTTTTCAGGAATAATGAACGATACGATCTATTTCTTGTGATGCTAGACTTCACGATCCTAGTTTCAAGACGATTGGGCCGCGGAGGATGCATAGCAGTCGCCGCCATGTGTCCGTAACTGGCGGTGATGTTCATCCTCCGTTACCATGCTTGTTTCGATCTAGCAAAAAACAGTTTAATTACTGGTCCACGAATTCCCTCTTAGAGCCGCTATCGTTTGACAGCATTGAATGCCTATCCGAATATGCTTTGTCTTTCTGACTGGGTTCGGATTCCACGAATTTTCTTTGAGACCTTATCCCAAAACTCACTTTTTACAACTCTGTGAATCGACACTTTTATAATCTAGCTTAGTGATGACTGATAATAGGGATTTAGCATGTTTTGTTGCGTCTCAGTGGGCCAACCTTGTCCGCAGTCGGGAAATCGCACGAAATCTGGGTTTACGCGCTGTGCGATAATCATCCATGGGAGCTGCTGCGGATCATCCGTGCTCCAGTTGTCTGAACTACGCACTCATGGGAATAGAGTCGCGACGTCGCAGGGGACATTGAATGAGCACAGCTGACGACTCCTACACTGATGAGACGGCCGTACAGTCCCAACCGGCACAGTGAGCCGTTCTTGAAACGGTTCACAATGTTCCCATGGAGTAACGCCTTCGAGGGTGAACGCTATTTTCTGAGCAACGAAACGCAATGTCATGCATCAGCTGAAACGGTCTTATTAGCCAATGATATGCCAGGGCTTGTCGTTCGCGGCATTATGTATCATCCAATCCCTGCACTCACCAGCCAATCCCAAAGCAAACGAATGCACTATAACGAGTGCTGCACCACTAGGTATGTACCATCATGAAGGAAGCAATATTGTAAACTTTTGTTTTAGGGCATAATTTTCACTATCTTGCTCATGTATGCAGATAATCTGTCAGGCAAGCTTGCAAAAAATCGTTGTCGGTATCGCCACGAATCGGGACGAAAAAGTCGTCCGCCTGTGCTCGGTGGGTACTTCGCGTACCGTTCCTCGTCTTCCTTTTTCATGGTGTATTACACTCGTCTATTGTTGTCGTGTTGAACATCTGGGCGGTCATCACAAGTTACTTTTAAGAACATTCCTGGTTGTTTATAAAGTACAGTATTTTGCTATTCTCCGTTCACTTGCCGGTCCATATTAACTATCCTGTGACCTTAGCTGCATCCTGTTCGTCCGTGCTCGTTCTCCACTCTTACCGAGCGTTGGGCTTCACTGTTACCATCACGGATAGACTGCACGCTGGTGTCTGATTGGACGTCCGCCCACTTAGTCGATGATCACACGATTGGTTGGGTATGTTGTTGCCATCGTCTCAGGTGTATGTCATCCGTTCGCAGTACAGCCGGCCAATCGGCTTTTTCGCTCTCCGATGCCGTGCTGTTTCCTTTGCGTTGGGTCGGACCAGTCACGCGTGCTCGGCTTTCGTCTGATTGGCTCCCCGTCCATCCCCTCCCCACAAATTCCACTCGGCCTTGGCATTAACAACACAATTGTCAATCCATTTTGCACTGCAGATCCTCGAATTTGTTGGCCACCATTGGTTTAGGTGTTCTGCAGCCAGCGCACATCGGTCAAATCGTTCATTATTCTTTGCCTATTTTCAATGTGTGGCTTATTAGTGATTACTCATTCCCTGTTTGCTTATCCAGAGGAACGCATCTTCGTATGTGTACATTGTGATAAGTCGTTTGCTCGGAACAGCAATCTTCGACGACATCTGAAAGTGGTTCATTCTGGTGAGTGTGTGTTTACCCCTACTGACGTCACGTGACTTCGGTGACATCAACCGTACCGTTTCTTTATGCTCATTGCGTCGCAAATATCAGCTTTTCCAACAGGTAGTTGTTTCGTTTGATTCTGCACTGGCGTTGGTCGTTGGTAATAATAATAATAATAATAATAATAAATTTCTCGTAAACGCGTGATACGGTCTAGAGAACCTGGTCGGATCATTGTGTACAGACTATGTACAGAACTGTTAGTGCACCCATGTTGTATTCCAGCTGTGAGCAATTTTGCTTCTCTTGACAACCAAACATAAACCAGATATTCCCTTCAAAAATGTTTCGTGCATTAGCGATGCTGATTACATCATAACGTCGAAATAAATAGTGATGTCGTAAACTTCCAAACGGAAATTATGGTGTGTTAGGAAATTACAAAGTGAAATGGGAATAAGAATGATTTCTCCGGTTGATGTATGCAAGGCTTGCAGTCAGATCGGTCCACTCTCTGGAAAGCTCTGATACCCCTTTTTGCAGTCTATCGAATTCATTCCCCTTTGTGTTTATAAATTATCCTCCATCTAGCAAAACTACCCAACCATACACCTGTTGTCTTCAGTATGGTTCTTTTCTCCTATATTATTGGCCTTCACCTTAAGACAAGCACCGCAAATTTACCTTACGGTGTGTGGAAATTCAAAACGAAGAACATGGATAGCACTTTCACTTGCGGTATGCTTTTGATCGGTAGCATCTGTTTCTAATTTCACCTTTTACTGTTATCGCGGTCTAGACAACTAGGCATACACAACCGTTATGAGTTGCTTACCCTGTACCATACAGCTGCGCCCGATTTCCTACGTTAGAAGTCGTTCAAAAATTCAACTACCTGGGAAGTTGTATCAGCGCCCGTGGGATTGAGGATGAGATCACGAACCGTATAGCAAAAGCTCGAGGCGCTTTTGCTAACCTGCGCCACTTATGGCGCCGGCGCGACATCACTCTTGCTCTGAAAAGTAGAGTGTACAATGCAGCAGTACGTTCAACCCTACTGTGCGGTTGTGAAACCTGGCCGCTTAAAGCAGCGGACCTGAAGAGGCTAGTTACGTTCGACCACCGGTGCCTTCGTAATTTAGCTCACATCTGGTGGGAACACCGCGTGAGCAACGAGCGTGTTCGACGCCTTGTTTATGGCACAGGAAAAGGAAATGAACCGCTCAGCACCGTTATTTCACGCACCAGGCTCCGATGGCTCGGCCACGTATTACGCATGCCAGCCCACCGACTGTCGCGACGTGCGTTGTTTACGCGCCGGGGATGTGGATGGAAGAAGGGGTGAGGTGGCCAAGCGACGAATTGGTCGAGAGGAATGAAGGCCCTCACTTCTGAGCTGGCCTCGATTGGAGCTTCTCGGTTCCCTGGTTGGGGTCCGAAAGACGATGAACACGTTTGGTTGGACACACTTGCTGATTTGGCTAGGAGCCGAACAGTGGCGTTCGTGCTGTGAGTTTCTTTGTCCCGCCCCATCCCTCTTAGCCTCCCCCTCCAACCATGATCTCATTATTTGGCTTTATATAATTTCGCATAGTATTTTTTTGATGCACAGTAGCTGGCTGGTAGCTTACCGGAACGATGCCCATCCATTACCGGTAGCTCAGCCGGCTTACACCAGTTGCTTTTATTTCTCCTTTTTTCTGTGTATTGCGGCACAGTAGCTGAGGTGTTCCCCACCTCCAGCTAACGTGTATGATGATGATGATGATGATTTCCTACGTAAGCCCGATGGAACAAAGTTAGGGAGCATTCGGATGGCAGATGCGGTTGCTACGGAGCCGACTCATAGGCTTCGAACAAGCGCAGGATGGTGTTTGGGCTATTTCGATCACTGAATTTAGTCACTTGAAATGCCCATTGCGATTGTTAAGGACTTCTCATCTCACCGGATAGCAATCGATGTGTCGGCGTCAGATAGCTCCGTTACTTTTCAATAGTCTTATCAGACGCATTACGTGTAAACAAACCTCAGTTACACGGGAGTCTACACACATCTTCATAAATCTAGCCGGACAATTGTGACAATGCACCGCGCTTGTCTTATCTGTTTGAACTAATATACGGATATTGTCCATGTATCTATGCCATAGGTGCGTTATGTTTGCTTCGATGTCTACCACCTTCCTGATTGACGGAACTGCATGCTGTTTTCAAAAAAACCCGTATGATTATTCGTGCTAACGGTTTCAAACCGGAACTCAAGTTTACATTCCACTGCATTATTGGCGCAAAAGTGATATCAGGTTAGCTACCGACACATTTCGAAAGACGTGCTTTTTCGCGTCTTTCGAGTCCACTCGTAGTTCAGTTCAGTTCAGATAAACGACAATGATCCGGGCACTGAAGTGCGGTGAATCTACTTACGACAACTCATGTCGCGAGAATACGAACAAATAACAACAGTATAAAAACATAAGCTTGAACATAAATATAGTACACAGAAAATAAGATGAAGAAAACGCTGTTAATACTTGTCTGAATGGAAGCCTGGTAGCTAAGTTGTGTGCCTTCGGTAAATTCGCTATCCGGCACAGCTTTTTAACGTTTTCCCGACAATGAACATTCTATTTTCCTGGTTTACAGCCAAATGGTTTTCGGCATCCGGTTCCGGATTTGCCTGTCATTATGGCCAGCCACAGGACGTCTACGCTTAATGACGGACCATGGGTGGCTTGCGCTGCACCACCCCCAACTCCATCCCCACACCTCATATTTGGTGTAAAGCCGGAGGAATAAGACCGGGAGGCGTGTGGATGGAAGCCACGTTTCATCAACGGAGCCAGTCCACACTCCACAGGCAAACGCAAGCACAATGTATTTGGGGGATCAACCGCACACAAGGCGGTGGCTAAAACGTAGTCCGCTCCACACTGAGTGCATTGAACCACTCGAGCCTAGCGCGGCCACAAGGACCGTGCACTCTGTCCCCTCCAGCAACGATCAACTGTCTCCTGGAGCCAGTATGGACGAGGTAGTGGGTAATATACAGGTAGGCACCCTGTCAACATGCACATCAAGTGCAGCCACACCGGGGATATCAAACAACAGCCAATCACTTGTAATAAGAATTTCAAATAATATATACCGATTAAAGCATACAGAATTGCCGACATAAATCTACACTATATGTGCACATGTAATAAATTGGTTCCCAACAAATACGCTTCAAGTGTAAGATCTCATAAAATATTCTTTTAAAAACTGCCACAAACGCGAAAATCTTAGCGGACTTAACCACGATTAGCTTAAGTATCATGTGCGATTTCAGGTAAACATTAAGATGGGTTAAAATGATACGCATTAAGACACGATGGCAATTCCACCACCTGAAATAAAGAAACTCAGCACGCGAGCAAGCGGCTGGTAAGTCGAATGCAGCATACCTACAAACGCTGCGCCGGCTCTGCTTACGTTCTCAGCAGGACGCGTCGTCCTTTGGATACTGGTTTCGAGTGGGCTCGCTCATGGCTCACTAGGCCTGCCTGACTCCGGCACTCACGACCGCATGTGCTACAGCACCTTGTGCTCGATGTTGACGGAGTACAACCCATCGGCGACTGTTGCTTCCGCACTTGCCGCTTCTCCGCATGTACGAGGGCTTTCTCTTGCACCTCGGCAACGGCCTTTGTGATCAGATCGCGCCATGTATGCCGATCAACTGCTTTCGATTCCCATGACCTGCACTCGAAATTAGAACGTAAAAGCCTCACTTTGACCATGTCCTGCTATCAAATCTTCGGTTCCCCACTTACAACCATATAAAAGAACGCAAATCTACACCTTTTACTATACCGTTTTTATATCTCCTATATTCAGCTTCACCTATTGCATGTGTTATGCCCACTTATCACATGTCACTCTGACATGCATGGACAAGCGGGTTAAAGGTTGCTACTCTTCGCCTGCTTCCAGATGGCAATATCTTTGTGGAACATGAGTTGACGTGCATCGGGGGTGCGCTGATTGTGAAACCAAAATGTCACTTCCAATTTACTATGTTCATATCATAAGGACTGATTATATATGCTCACACCGAAAAATAATGAATGCAATAATATAGTCAGCACTACGCCGGCACACCGTACCAACGCTTCGCTGTCACGCGGCAACCAGCGGTCGCACGTGGGCTGAGCACAACACGAGGATGTCCGCCCCTACGCGGATTCGAACCGGTGATCTAAGGCTTGCAAACCAAGCGTGCAATGCTTTCGGCCGCCGAACGACATATTCACATTATGTACAGCTCTTTTTTGTTCGTTGCAATCAGCCGACAACTCAGATAAGTCAACTACCTATCCGGAAAAGCACCAGACGGCCGTTTCGCCCTATTGTGGCTCGTCAGTGGTGCGTCTCCTTCGGTCCTCTACGGAGGATCGAACCCATGACTGCTAGTGGCTTGTGCCAACTAGTCCGCAGCTTATGCAACTGCGCCATGGAGGACGGTAGCCGACCATCACGAATTGTTAGCTAACTGTGATATAGCCCGACCCATCCTCCACTGCCATGCAGATGACAGCGGTTGGCCTTCCGGAGTCAGGACTTCCGGGTTATGGCAGCTATGAATCGACATAGCATTTATGGAATCCATAAGGGCGAATTTGTATTACTTATGAGTAGAAAGACTTTGGTGAGTATTTTTATTCATTGCAGTCAGCCGACAGTTCAAAATTGATTGCTTGCTTGATTGACTTGTCGGCTGCTTTCGGCGAATAAAACCACTCACCAAGTCCTTCTACTCAAAGTAATACAAATTCACCCCTATGGATTCCATAAATGCTGTGTCGATTCATAACTGCCGTAACCGGGAAGTCCTGACTCCTCAAGGCCAACCGCTGTCATCCGCATGGCAGGTGCCTGCATGGCAGTGGAAGATGGGTCGGGCTATATCGCAGTTAGCTAACAATTCGTGATGGTCGGCTACCGTCTCTATGGCGCAGTTGCATAAGCTGCAGGCTAGTTGGCACAAGCCACAAGCAGTCATGGGTTCGATCCTCTGTAGAAGGATGCGCACCACTGACGAGCCCCAATAGGGCGAAACGACCATCTGGTGCTTTTCCGGACAGATAGTGGACTAATCTGAATTTTCGGCTGATTGCGACAAACAAAAATAATCACCAAAATCCTTCTACTCATAAGTATGTACAGCTCTGTGCGTCCACCCAATACTATGGGGAAAAGGGTCGTCGTGCGCGCGGATGGAAGCCGCGATTCACTGCAGACTACGATTTTTACTTTGTATGCTACTTGTCCTCCGTTTGCTATTGTACTTATTAATACAGCATTTACTTGCATTTTATCTCTTCAGGTGACTCGCGGACGGAAACGTGAAAGCGAGGTAACCATCCGTAGTGGCATATCTCCACACTCTGCATTCGACGACACACTGAAACTCTTATTCTCATTTTCGGTATATTTGTAACCTTGTCTTCGAACTTCTCCTTGTGATAAAAGCTTTTTTGCAATATCCACGCCGACCTGTTGTTTGATCCACACTGCGATCGTAGCGGTTCATTCGTCACAATGGGTTCTGTTTTTGCTTTGAAACCACGCAACTCATGACGGGGAGTTTGCTCCTTAACATCTCTCAACATCTTTATTGTGTGGCGTATACATTTTAACTTCAGGCGGTAACCGAGTGACTTACACGCCTGGTTTGCAACAGCTGTTTACAAACAGCAGTATCTGTTGTCACGAATACGCGCAGCTAGGAGTAATTATGCTACAGGAAACCTGACTTCACAAAGATGTTTAAGTTTCTATTGTAGCAGTTGACGGTTTTATTTTCCACGGTGCTGTTCGCCCATACACGTTCTGCAACCGGGATGGTGGTGTTGTCACCTTTATTAACGTTTCCTGGTGCTCATCAATGAAGAAAATTTTTGCTATTCGTCGCAAGGTATCCTTTTTGGTGTTTATTATTGACCTTGCACAGGGAATCGTTTAAACTTCCTAATGTTTGTTGACGATATAAACATTTGGCGTAGGATCCAGGCGGACGCCGACCAGCCTTTGCCTCTGCGTGACCTAGATACGGGGTATCAATGGTCAACCCAAAACCTACGGCATTTCCACGTCAGTACAAGCAAAGTGCTTTCCATCCGTCACCAGAGCAACTACTCATACAGGCCCGGAACGAATATACTGCAACAAACAACTCTCGATGGTGACTTAGTTGTACTAATTCAAGATATCTTGGTTTGCTCCAGGCAGCCTGAAAAAGCCTCGAAGACTGGGAACCAACACGTCGGGCTGCTTTGACGGGCCTTCGGACAAATAAGCAGCTTCAGATTTCGACAAATGCTCACTGCATATGTTCGCTCCCATGTCGAATACGCAATTCCAGCCTGGCATCCATGGCTGAAACACGACGTTAATGCACTTGAGCAGCCACAACCTCGGGCATCTAAGAACGTAATTGGAATGCGCAATCTTTCATACCAGGTGAAGCTGCAACGATTGGGGGTATTCAGTGGAAGCTATCGCAGACTACGAGGCGAGCTGATTGTGGCATACTTGGTGCTGCGAGACCCACGTCATGTGTGCCGCCCTTTACTGCGACTCAGCATCAATACAACCCTGATGGGCCACCCATTGAAACTGGCAGTACAGCATAGCCGTCTGGAGTGCCGCAGAGATTGTTTTTCCATTCCTGTCTGTCACCGGTGGAATGCTCTCCCAACATCGGTCGTCTTTGCAACGACACTAACAGTATTTAAAAGACGGTTGGATGTTGCATTTGTGCACTTGCACTTTGTCACTTAGCACTACGTCTCTATCCTACACCTGCAGTTTACCATGGTTATTATTTGACGTTAACTGCGAATGCTGTGAATCTAAGGGGATTGCAGGACTACGGAGCGGCAAACGATAAGACCTTATTTTCATATTAAACTAATAACTGTTTTACTCTCATTATTTCTATTATTGTTATGTCGATATCTCCCCAAATATCCAATGGGATTGTAAAGCACCCCTAGTTAACCCGTATAAATTCATTGTTCATTGTATACACCTTGGTGCGCTGACTTCCTTAGCATGCCACAGCCCAATTGAGGACTTTGAGTTTGACGTCAAGGCAAACAATGGGTTCAGTTACGAACTTCAATGCAGCACCTATGGCGGAATGAGACGGGTTGCGTTGTTCATTAAAAGCGACTCAGCACAGTCGTAGGAATTACGGGGTGGGAAGATGTTTGTGAGACGTCCCGAAGAATATTCCCGTCAGTTATAGTGGAACTGCTCATGCTTTCAAAGGGGTGTTGCAGCAAATCTTGTCAAGTTCTCGATCAGCTTGTTCGTCAGCAGCCATGGCGGATCGATCCATCTTGGTACGAGGTTTTATTCTGATCCGATGGATGCGTGAAAGAGCGTCTGAGTCATGTCGTACTTCTGTCGTAAACGAAGAGACGTAGCCTAGTTGTCTGATTTTGCGCGGAGAGTACTTGTCCCTCGCGTCCTTGGTTGCATAGATCCATGGCTTGTAGTCATTGAAGACTGTGGGATGTCGACCTTCGAGTTAGTGACGAACGTGTCGAGCAATTGGGTTGATAGCGAGTAGCTTCCTATCAACAGGTTGTAGACTTTTTGGAAAGAAACCTAGGGGTGCCCATCAGTGACCTAATAAACAATGCAACGACTGCAGTGTCTGTTGCGTCGTTTCTTAGAGCAATTGGTGCAGTTGGATCCGGGTGTGAGAGAGCCACTATAGGGTAGGTAACGTCTTCAAGCTTCTCGAAAGCCAGTCGTATAACATAATGTTACTGGCTGACTGCACGCGACTGAATATCGCTTTCCGTCTCCCGCCAAAGTTGTTTGTTGTTCATTATACTGAGTGGGATGATTTTCCTGCAACTAATTGGACACAGTCTAGATTTAAAAATTTCTTTATATTTGCGTGTGCTTTTCCATTTACCAATGAATCGTCGATAGTGTTAATCAGGCCGAAGATATGGCAAGGCTGTTTGAAGGAACTAGGGGTTAAGTAGTCCCTCTATGCTTGGGTTTGATCTGATAGATCTTCATTACCAGCAGAAGATGTGGTCACAAATGTCAGTTGTTTTCAGACCAAGTTTGCATTTCTGGGGATTTAGAGTAACCCGCGGTGCGTATGCTGGTTTAGTGCATAGCGCTAGTAAATCCCATTTAATGAGACTGTGCTGAGAGAAGGTAGAGAGGAGAAAAACCCATAAAACATGGAGCACAACTGCGACGCGTCTGTCATGGAATGTCTATTCCTGTGAGTTGTATAGTGCTAACGTAGATCTAAAGGACTGATTACACCACACTTGTAAAACAAGCAGTCAGTGAGCCGCATTTGGCAATTGCTTAGCAGGTTTTCGAGGCCGCAGTTCAAATAAGCACATCGAGTTCAGCCATGCGCACCGATCGCCCGAGTGCGTAATGAAACAGAACTTTTAATGTGTTTTACACAGGTGAACTGGAGAAATCTCCGGACTTATATTTGGCCTTCTTCCATAAGGGAGCAACTTGCGCTAGACCAAGAAATTGCATGCCATCAAGGCACAGAGTCCACTTAATGGGTAAATGCGATTTTGGGCTAAAGTCGTCAAGACGGGACTGACATGACTTTACTACTCTAGAGCGGACAAAGCAGGTGGCCTGCACAAAAGATACCGTGCATTGGTATTTTAACTACCAAAATGGCAGCTTTTGTGCTTTAAACCGGATATAAATGTGTCGTTTACTTTTACATATTCAATCACCATTTAATCGATTTTACATGCATACGAAACAGGAATGAAGCTATGCGGCAATCGATTTACAACTAAAAATGGATATGGCAACAATAGTTAACACGCCACTCCGATGCAGTAAACATGACTTGATCAGAGCTATCCTTCTGGGATTTGTTCTGTTGTCCATCGCACTAATACTGTTCGATGCATAACGATTACATTCGTATAACGTCATGTTAGTGGCTGATTGCATGCGAATCAGTTTCGCTTTCCTTCTCCCTGAAAAGTTCTTTTTGTCCATTATACTGAGTGGAATGGTTTCCTCACAAGTTATTGGACAGTCGAGGTCCAACAAAATCTTTATATTTCCTTGTGCTCTTCCAGCCACGAGAAAAACTGCAACGAGAGCGATGCAGGCGGAGGGGGCAGAACGTGTATTGACACAACAACGTGCAACTGACAACTCACTAACCCTTACAGATATGAGCCGTGTTTCCTTCTCACAACGCAACACGGACGAGGATTTGTGTGACGGGTCATTCCAGATGGCTCCAAGGTTTCCGTCCCGTATCTCCGCTTCGCCTTATCCCATTCTGACCAATCAGAAGCCGTCCGAAAGCTTGCGAGTTGCTCTCTCTTGGCTGCATCGCTCGACCTGCGTTCACTCTTGTGGGCTTCGCTAGCGCGTATTTGTCTGATTCATTGCGTTCTTGACAAATACCTCCTCCGTTGTTCTGGGCCCAGGATCGTTACATGATACCGCTCATGATCCGCACGCGTCGCAGAGCCTTGTCCCCTCTCATCCATTGCGCCCTTTGGTATTTCTTTACTATTCCGTTCTAGTTATCTTTCCAATTGGTAAGTAGTCTTTGACTTCCACCACTCAGTACCCACTCCTTTTAGAATTTGATTTTCCCTTTCGTACCATGGTCGTAGAAGGGCGGCGTTCACTCGGCGTTTCGTTCCTGCATTGTCGATTTGGAACTTTGTTCCTTTCCGATCCATTATGGTATCGGAACATTTCCAGCGTTCCCTGAACTTGCTCGCATCTGATCCTTCATGAGCTGGCCGATCGTTGTTCCGTACCTTGACTTGTTCTCCATTCCTGAACGGCGTCCAATTGTGAGCCGCATGCCTTAAATCGTAGTTCCTCTTATTGCGTGCTTGTTGGGCTTTGGTTCCTCTTTTAACATTGGTTTGCAATCGTTCGTGATGCAGTGCCGGATGTTCCCGCTCACTTAGTTCCGTTAAGTACGTATGGAACACATTCCGTGGTTTTCGTCCTAATTGTAATTCGAATGGTGAAACCTTGTTGGTTGATTGCATGCTTGTCCAATACGCAAGCAGAAGTTCAGGCAATGCTTCTTCCCATACCAAGTTCTTGTAGTTTATGCACGTCTTCATGGTTCGATTGAACCACTCCGTCATTCCGTTGACTTGCCAGTGATACAGTGAACTGCGTCGCCTCTGGATGCCCCACTTGTCCAAACACGCCTTAAATGCTTTCGAATCGAAGCAGGGCCTTTATCAGTAAGAACGCATTGTGGTATTTCATACCTTGTTCGCACATTGAATTTGAATGACAAACAAGGTCTCACCTGTGAACTGATGAATCATCAATGGAACGTACCTGTCTCCTGGTAAGGGCCCAAAGACATCCAGTCTTCAACACTGAATTGGCTCATTGATTTCCATCGAGCGCATCGGTGGTCACGATGCATCGATCTTGCGACTTGTTTGGCAGTTTGGGCATCCGCGGATGTATGCTGCGACGTCCTTCATCATGGTAGGCCAACATACTCTCCTCCGTA